GTTTAGTTTTTATAAAATATTTGGCTCTAACGTATTTATAAGGGCTTTCCTTTTTAGGTCGGATTTAAAGGCTCCATTTACAATAATGTAACCTAAGAATTCCATGTGAGTTTTTTTTGATTTGCTCTTTTTTTTATTTATTTATATTGTGGCGATTTTAGCTGCATTTAGAAGGTAACTAAGATTTTTATCGTGCTCTTAAACATCTTTTTCATATTTAATTATATTGTCAAGATAAACATATGTGTTTTCCAGTTTATTAGCTTGAATAAATTCATCCATAATCCGCTGAAAAATTGGTAAAGGTAAAAAAAAGGTATAAATGTGTATGTGGTACATTTCAAGCTTTTTGTCCCCAGACAGAATTATAGTGGCTCTTTATTTCGTTTAAAAATCTATAGTACTTGAGGCATGTTGTGTTATTACGTTTATTATGATAACTACTGGTGCCACCAAGTTGTTTACAACAAGGAAATGTACATTTAATTCTTCTCAAGCTAATAACAAAGAACCTTTGAAGATTCTTTTAACTTTTAATGTCGAGTTATCTGCTAATGATACCTTTGAGGTAGATTGAGTATCGTAAGAACAGTTCTATTGTCGAAGAAGTTTTGATGTAATAAATGTTTTATCAGAGCCAGTATCTATTAGTGCCTGTATTACTTATTTGTTTATGGTGATGTTATTTCATCTATCAGGTGAGTAGATTACTACTAAGACCATAGATACTATTACACCATTTTCTTCGTTATATTATTGAACAGCTGTTAATTTAGTGTAGGTTTTATTCTGTTTCTTTGAGAGATAGACAGTTGCCCATTGGTCCTTCTTTGACAATGTATACAGGTAGAATTTTGTGCTGGGCATTTGATTTTTGGATGTGGATATATATCAAAAGTTGATAGCATGGTGTTACCTGTCATGGTTGTAGTCTAATTAAGAGCACGTTTGGGGGCTAATTCCATTGTAAGCACTGTTTTATAAATGTCTCTAGATTGTCTTCTGTAGCTTCAAGGAGTCATTGTTGAATAAGGGGGGGGGGGGGAATTCCTAGGGTTTCCAAAAAACACACTTATAAAAAACCGCGGTTTCAATTTTAATTTAAAAAAACTGCTGTTAACCGTGATTTTCAGTTTTTCTTGTTAAATAATAAAACTTATATAAGTTCATCTTGCATTGTTTATTAAAAAAATTATTTAAACAAAGTGTTCTAACATTATGTTTATATTTCAAAATAAAACTTATAATAGCTTATATTTATTGTTAAAAAATTTAAAAATTTTATCTGATGAATCGTTAAAACTAAAGATTTTAACGATTCATCAGATAACTGTTATCAGATTTTTGCACAGAAACTAATGCATCTTGAAAAAATGTGTTTCACATCTGTTGATGTGGGCTTTATAGAAAGGATTGCATTGTAAATTTTTTCACAATTTTCTGTTCTTTTGCCCATATTTCAGTACAACAAAAACAATTGCTTAAGCTATTTGAATTGATCAGTAGATTCGGGCAAATGTGTGATGGTATCTTTATTGAGAAGTGCGTTTAATTCATCCTTAAGAAAAAGAGGTAAACTTTCCGATGTGGTACATTGTGCTTCAGCTTGTAGAGGTTCCTAATCATTAGGAGTAAATCCAAAAAGCCTAAATGCAAGTTTTCCAGCAAAATTTAAAGTACTTTTTAATGAAACAATTGAAGGATTTTTTAAGCACCTTTACAACTGCAAAATATTTCTGTTCATTCTTTTATCAATGCACTTTTTTAAATTTGAATGCAATAAAAATGTGATTAATGCACTAATAACAAATAGTTTTGCAAGTATGAATTCAAGAACAGTCTCTGCTGTCGATAACAATGCATTTTCTCCCCTAAGAAAATCCACTGCTAGATTTGCAGGCTCTAATGAAGCATGTAATAAAGCTAATGATTTAAAATCTAGCTTATTGATTACATCAAGAGCATTTAATTAAGTAAATTTCTGGAATAAACATTTCTTAGTTTTTAACAAAAATGCAGTCATTAAAAAAAGTGAACTCCAACGATGACGAACATCCAGACGCAGTTCAATTTTTTTACCAAATTTATCAACATTAATCTTATTGTTTACATATCCAAAACAAAAATTATCATCGTAAATTCTATGTTCATCCTCTTCTATCACTTGTCCATTTTCATTGGAACGTTTATGTTTTTATTTATTTTTACTTGTATTCTTTTTTAAAACAAAATCAATGCATTTTTTATATTGAAACTTGCAAATAACTAACGTTCAAATAACCATAATAGACCATAATAAAAAAGTCTATTATATATACTTTGGCTTTTATTAAAAATAAAGTTAAACATAATTAAAGAACTAAAAAATGAATTATGTATAGCAAATTATTCATATAAATATCTCAGTTCAACTAATCATATTACTTTAAATAACAGGAAGTGATGTCAATTACTAAATTTTTTTGTGTGCATATATATTATGATTATCCATTGTAAACTGTTTTAATTTGTCTTTGAATAAATTAATAATATCTACCAATAATTATTTTGCATATGCTAGTATATAGATGCATGCATATCAGTTGATTTATACTAACCATTTTATCATTAAAATACTTGACCATTTAATCATTTTATCTAGGTAGTAAAATTTATTTTGTTGTGTTATTTTAAAAAACTTCATATGAACATACAGTTGTATGATAATTTATTATGGCCACCCACATTTACATTGTCAAGTTTCAAAGTCTATTATTTTAGTATTTTTTTGTGATTCATATACTCAAAAGAAATTTTTATTTAAGAAATGGGTTATACGCATTTATTTTATTATTCAAATATTACTACAAATATATTCCAGATCAATATTTAGTGATTCCTCCTTTTGCCTCTATAATTGCAAGAATCCTTTTTGACATACTTTTGATGCATTTTTCAGCCATTTCATTCAATTCTTAATTATGGTTCAAATAGTGAATAATTCTTTTTATTAAATACACTTTATTTGTAATAACTTCTTTAGATATTTGCTTCTTTAGGAGCGCCTCAACATTTTCTATAGGATTTAGGTCAGGATAGTTTCCTAAAAACCAAGTAATAGAATATTTTGTTATGATAGATATTTTTTAACTGATTTAACCGTGTGACATCTGGCATGAAGGTTTTTTTTTCACCTGGACTTAACTATTCTGCTAATTGTGGCAACAATCTTTGTTCCAGGACTTTTTTATATTGTAACTGATTTATTATTCCCTTTATAATATAGAGCCTTCCCATTCCCCTTCCACATATCACTGACCAGACCATCACAGAGGTGGGATGTTTAACAGTTTGAATGATGCAGTCTAATAAGTATTTTTTCCCTTTGTTTCTTTTTACATATTGAGCCTTCTTTGTTAAAACTTGGAAAGTACTCTTGTCGCTAAAGCATACTTTTAAATATTATACAAGGATTGTTAAGTTAACATTTAAAGTTTGGTGTAAGAAAGTGGATATTTTAAATAAATCTAAATTAATTTTACCAATTTCCAATCATTTTCTGTTAAATTCCTATACTTATACCCACTCAAGCCTTTTTTGAATCATTTTTGCTGTCAGTTTAGACTTCTTAGCTGGACGTCATGAAATGTAACCAAGATTGTGTAGGTGACATTGAACCGTTCTCTTTGATATTTTGACTCCAGATTGGCCCAGCTTATTAATTTCATTGTTGGAGACCTGTCTATTTTTTAGAACAGTCTTGGTAAGTATTCTTTTCCTGCGTGGTGTTAGGATTCTCTTCTTTCCACATTTACCAACCCTTTTTCTGGCCATTTCTTGTCAAGAAAAATTTCTTGTTAAGAAAAAATTATTAAAAGTGCTCTGATTTCAGCAATTTTTTGTCTTTTTTTTTCCCCCATAACTAAAATAAGATATCACATTTCAGTACTACAGTTAAACATTTGCTTTGGTACTCATAACTTTAAAAATATCAAATCAAATAAAATTATTTTTACTTTAAAATAAAAAAAAAATATTTAAGAAACAATATTTTTACTGATTTAAATAAATACTTTGATGATAACCTAATAAACGAATTCAAAACTTAACAAGAGTACAGCAAAAAGATTATAATTGAAATGACATCAAACAAAACCGCTGTCAAAAGTAAGTGTTGCCATTAGCAAAAAAAAAAAGACTGATTTTATAAGTTGAAACTTAATTTAAAACAAAAGAGTAAAAATAATGAATTTTTACTCTTCATATAAAAAAAAAGAGATTTAACTTCAAAATGATCAAAATTCATAAGTGGCCATAATAAAATGTCACAAGACTGTAGATACTTCATAAAAAGAAGATTAGTTATACTTCTTTGAGTGTTTGTTTGTTTTTTCTTTTTTGGGTTTATCACTGCTAATAATGAATTTACTCATCTGTAAAATATCGTTGTTGATCAGATATAAAAAATTAATATTGAAGGTGTGTTGGGTTGTTTTTTTAACCAACTGAGCCTTGTTTAATAATGTTTTCTTTGTTCATGCCAAATTTTATTGTAAAAGAATATGTAGCAAACACCTAAGTTTTTATAGCAGAAAAGGTACTTAAAATATTGTTAACTAAGCAAAATAGTGTACAAATAACAACAAAGTTCCATAACAAATGACCATTAGACGAACGTGACGTTCTAAATTTGGTCGCATTTTTCTAATGCGATTCTAGTATTCAAATTTTGTTACTTAAATATGCATAAATTTTTGTAATAATGAAATTTTCATTATTTTAATACTAATTTTCATCTCTTACCAATGATTAATAAATTTCAAATATATATGAACAGTTTGAAATTTGTAAACACGTACCTATATTATAATCAGTTATAAATAAATTAAGATTAAAATAAGTAATCTTCAACTTTTCAAATGCCTATAAATAAAAGCTAAACAAGGCAAATTCACAAAGATTTAAAATATTTTCTGTAATACAACAGAAACATTCTTCCAAATCAAGGTATTAAAAATTAC